ATAAATATCAACGCTTGGCAAGGGTATGCAGCACCCGGCCTTCACTTAGGTCCTAGGCACCACTGCCCGCAACACTAATTAGTGGTCAGCCAATCAGTGGCTGACCCATAATATAATAAAATAAAATAAAATAAATTGCAATGTTCTCCTTGAGCGTGGCAGCGGTGTGCAGCACGCGACCTTCACTTAGGGCCTGGTCACCACTGCCCGCAACATTAATTAGTGGTCAGGCAATCAGGCTGATCTCACTAGTGAAAAGGGGAGTCATAAGTAATCAATTTATATTGAAGGAACAATAGGGCTTGAAAGACCCTCGTTCATGGCTAATATCGTTGCACTGTCAGTTATTCATCAACAAATTTACGACGGGGGCAAGTCAGGAGTGTCGAATCAAGACTTTTCAGACTCTAACGTATTGCTAAAATTAATAAGTAAAATAATTAGTTTTCTCGACCAATCAGCGAAGGAACAACTTGCTGTCTCTCAGAGGACACTCCAAACCCCATTGATCTCTCGTGATTAAGACCTTGGCAATGCTACCCAATCACGGGGTTTCATGTTGAGATATTTCAAAATTTAACTGATGTATAAATGAGGGAAATAAACAAACGAATAAATGGATGAATAAATAATTAAATATAGATTCTTACGAAATTAGCATGCAGCCTTATTACTGGCCACTTAAACTTTCCCCCAATTAGAAGACAAGTCTCATTCCCCCAATACCTGATTTGTGTACGTGATGACCATCTGATTGACTCTGACCTGGTCTGCATCTGATCGACCACGTTTGCACGGTCACTCACCACCCCCGAAAGTAAGAGGCAGTTCCTAACTCTTATTGAGGCACCTGATAGACTGGTGAATCTGGACGATCGACTGTACAACCAAGTCCTTGCCTAGCTGATCAATAGATAGTGAATGTTGGCGTCTATTAATCATATCGTCCGTTGTACTCCCGACAGGTAACACCAGATTGTCGCCAGGCTGGTTGATACGTAGGTGACCATGTCAAAACCCTCGTCGCCTTTGCAACAGGTCTGTGGCAGTCCAGCAGGTCGTCAAGTAGTACATGCCCGGCTGCCATTGGCTGCCTAGTAAGTCGATCTCTCTGCCTGTTGCATGACCTCAATCGGAACTGAGCCCCCAAAAGTCAAACCCTCTTCACTATTTGTAACGGCCAAGCGGTAATTTTCCTGTGTCAGCAGCTGGCTGTTGTGCCCCTCAACATGTGGCACCTAAGCACGCACGTACGCGTCTCTCTGAAAACGGGGAAGGTACTGCCTAAGTAGACCAGGCCCAGCGGTCCTACCGCTGGCGCTGAATCCAGGTCCGGTAGTCCCGCTGGAGGAACTGGTTTTCAGGTGTGATACTCCCGCTGGCTCTTAGGCCCATAGCACAAATGTAGGCTTGGCGGGCACCTTCCGGTCTAGATCCAGGTCTGGCCAAAGTGGATACCGCCGCCACTTAGGCTGCTGGTGCTGACTCCAGACTCGATAGTGCTGCAGCTTCTCAACAGGCTATCCCAGTACAGGCCCGTTCCTACAGATGTGAGTACAATGGAATGCCACTCAATCCGGGTCCAGACCTGGCCAGTATGCGAAGGTTTGCGGCTCAAGGCCGTTTTTACTGAATCACTCTTTATTTATTACTATTATTTTTCGTTCAGGACTTGCGCGAACCTTTCAAAAAAATAATAATTCAGCTGCACGTTTCGCTAACCCCACTCCGAATGGTTCAGGATGTCGAACCCTCCGACAACCACACCTTGAAGTGCAGTCAAGTTTGAATAATAAATTAATAATAATAAACCATAATAAAAATAAAAAGACGGGATTAGACCTGGGACATTTGAGGATGACCACCCTCACCAAAAGTGTCATCACTCCTCTTCGGTTGGACCGGGTACTCCCACTCAAAACGGTGTGGCAAATTGACACACCGCGGAGGGCCTGAATGTCGGACCCTCCGACAGCGTGTCACCATCCACCACTGCGATCGTCACCCCGCCAACTTAGCCTCGACGTGGCTTGCCCGGATCCCACAGTCCGTCGTGGCGATCTAGCGCACAACCAGCCAGTCTACAGTCAGCCCGTCAGGAATTTCCAACTCGCACTATACACACATAATCTAGCCACTGCTTCCCGGAAGCTGGCTGACGAGTTGAGAGAGAGATTTGCGGATGTGCCGACGGAATTTATAGTTGCGAGAAGGGAGAGAGACGCGGGAAAAAATGAAGAGTAGGGTAGCGGAGGGTAAGGGAGAGTTTGAGAGTAATCGCCCGTTGAAAGCCATGTTGAGCCCTCACAACCCGATCTCGGCCAATCAGAATCGTCGCGCAGTAGGAATCTCCTCTCTGAGGGCGCTTCTCCTTGGCTAGATGGGGAGAGAGAATCGACTGGGTTTTTCGAGCGCGGGTCTTAGAGCGGGAAGAAGAGGAGTGCGAAGGATAGCGAGAAACGGGTCCAAGATTCAGATGATCAAGAAAGAGAAAAAGGGCGTGCGCGGGGAAGGAGAGAGAAAAACAGTTATAGGGGGAGGGAGCGAGAAAGCATATGCGCGCGAGGGAAGGCGCTGAGAGGGCCGCAAGAAGGAAGGAGGAGGGAGCTCGTTTGCATGGTGCCGAACAGCAAAAGAAGAATGGGCACCGAAACAATTGCAGTTTTTTTCCCAAACCTACGCTAATTCAAAAATTGAAATCACCATATCCAAGCGAAAAGTAGACGCGGGAAAAGAAAGAAACTCCTACGCCCATCCATATTCCTACAAAATAGTAAAAAATTCCCAGAGTCCTCTATGTCGAGGCCAAGAACATTCGCAGGCGAAAGGTCACGCCGCGTTCCATTAATTCCGGAATTCCTAACCGTCGAGCCAAATTCCAAGCGTGCTCACTAAGGCGCGCGAAATTCCCATGCATTTTCAAATTAAAAGACATAACGGAATTTCAAAGACTACTAGTGCTAACAACATACAGATTTCAACGAGGTACCTTTAATCGAACAAAAGCAGAGAGTGGGGGGGGGGTTCTCGGGGGCCGATCAGGACACCTCTAGATGTAGAGAAAATACGGGGAGGGAAGGGGTCCGAAAGATGGCATAGGTCCAGAAGCTGGTTCGTCACATATGTGACGCGTAGGGGGTTCAAAAATTATGCGATCTCCTGATTGCATGCCATGGCGGAGGAGGAGGGAGGGGGAAGAGAGGATGAATGAGGAACCAAACGTATCAGGAGAGAAAGTGTCCGCATCAGCACAGATAGTTGAGCCAGAGTTCATGTTCACGCCAACGTCAATTGCAATATCTTCGCGAGTCTGCTGGCTCGAGCTGCTGGAATTCCCTTGGTTTTTCGATCGCCGGAGATGGTCTAGGTGGCGCCATCATCGTCCGTTGGTCCTCCGTGTGCTTTGCACTCCTGCCCCGTCATTGGAAGTCTGCCCTCCGGTAGTCGACAAGGAGAGGATAGTGAGGGGTCGGGGCCACTCAGATGGGAGTGGAGGGATGTAATCCGCCGCCTCGTCACCGAGATCAACGAAATGTACGATCCGGTGTGGGCGGGGGAATCGATGATTGGGTCGGGATAGGGATAGTTGATAATCGGGGTATAAGGAGGGGATGGTGCAGAGGACATTATCCCTTAGGGACTCGTAGTCCTCCACGGCGGGAAAGGTGCCTGAAATGATACAGTACAACTCTATATGGTTGAACTGTGCGCAGGCGACACTGAAGAGGAGGATATTGAGAGGGAAGGAGGGGGAACGATGGGGGAAGACCGTGCATAGGAGCCGTGCGGCAAAGTGATGACAAAAGATGCGGCTGGCGAAGATGTGATAGTCCAGGGGGAATTCAAGGTGGGGGACGAAAGGAGAGGTAATCAAGGGGGCGGCGGAAGACGGGACGAGGATGGTAAGTCCGGGCCGGGAGGAGGACGGGGACGAAGCGTGGAGGAGGTGGAAACGGAGGGAGATGGTGAGCGAGAGCGGCGACGCCGGCGGGAGGTTGCTGCGCCATCGTGCCGACTAGCGGCGTCTGAGGGAACGGCGGGATTCAAGGCGGATCCTCCTCGAACGGAAGGCGGCGCTTGTGCTGGTGGGGCCTCTCGGGGCTCAGGTGTCGATGCCTCTTCTTCTTCCTTTGTCGTCGACCGTGCTTCCGACTCCTCTTCCTCCGATAGCCCGCCGATGGCTATGCGACCCGGGTCATCGTCCGACGGCAGCTCCCCGTTTTCTCAATATGCCTTCCAAAAATCGTCGAAGTCGGAGTTATCCGGTGCAAGTTCGTCCAGGTCCAGGTAGCACCAAACCGTATGATCGTGATCGCTTAGATACTGCCCGTAATCAATCCTTACAGTTCGCTTAGATTACGGTTGGCATCAACTTCCTTTCCAGGGTCACAGGTTCAGCCTGACTCGGATCGCTCGGATTGTAGGAGATGATGCCCGTCGGTAGGTCGTCAACGAGCTGAGACAAGAACGTAAGGAGCTCGTAGGCGACCATTGCCCGTCCTCCCTTAGCGATCTCACCGCACAACAGCCCTACCAACGTGCCGTCGGTGGTCGACTCTTTCGGCTACAGCTGCGCCAGCACCAGCGAAATGTCGTGAGTGTGCTCCAGCTCCCGATTATTGTAATACCGCGACCAGTGGCACTTTACTTTGAGTATACACACACTAACCGTCGCGAATTCGGCCCACTTGCGGATGTAAGCTGAACTGAATGGAAGGGTTCAGGTGGGACGAATTTCCAGAGTGAGAAGGGGGTCGGTCCAAAATGGCCAAATGATCGGAAGGTCGGAGGGGAGAGAGAACGTGGAGAAACGATTCATCGGCGCTCGGGGTAGGGATGGAGATGGGGAACCGGGCGAGTGGGGCGATCAGTGGCGCTGGTCCGCAGGGAGAAGGTATCAATACAGTCAGTCCCCACTACTTGTTGCCCTGACTGGGCCAGTCGCTGCCGCCAATCAGCTGCCAACTCCTGTCCCCACTTGTAAAGATCAGTCACTACTGCATCGCGCCGCTGCGCGCTGATGGTACACAGATCGCTGCTGAAAGCCACGATTAATGTTATGTCGCTCTAAGTAGGTCGCGAGAAACGACGAAATCCTGATGCCTCCGCCAAGATGACTATTGAGCCTCGATCGGTTGATATAGTTATCTCAACAGCGGCGCACCAAGCCCCGTGGCTGAAGAGCTGCGCAAATCGGAGAAGGTCAGGACTGAGGCGGGGTTGCGTGACTTGGCGAAATTGCAGCAAAGTTTGAGGTTGAAGAAGCTGAGGTGGAAGGGCCGGCTCAATGACAAAACTCATGGCGAAGGTGAGGGGGAGGTAGATGCAGACGAAGGAAAGGAAACGAGTTCCTCGTCCACGCTGCAGGAAGAAGGAGATAGGTTGAGGTTCTCAGAAGGAGGGACGGGACGAAGGTAGGAGGTGTGACGGACAATGGGGAGGGAGCTATGGTTGGCGCTGGCCTCAGGCGCAATGCGCACCGTGTTGGCTCCGTTAGGACCAAGCTCTTCGACGCGAAAACAGCCAGAGAATTTGGGAGCGAGTTTACGGTCGCATGCACATTTGCGTACCTGCACCAGATCCACTAGCTTATATTGGTGTTGCGGGCCCGCATTCCCATTTCGGGCCTCGTAGCTTCAGACCTGTCTACCGTGGGCTAGTTCGGTCATTTTCTGTCTTTTCCGGGCCAGCTTAGGAACGGCCCTTTCCATTAAATCCGCATATCGCTTGGCTTTGGCCTTAAGGGCCACACGTGTGTCCCGACCCCCTTTGTCGGCAATTTCTGAGGTACCCCAATTATCGACACATGGAAGGCTATTGGTTCGAAGCTGGAAGGGGGTGAGCCCTGTGGACTCATGAGGGGTAGCTCGATGGATTCCGACGGTCTGACAGACAATCTCAGGTCACGGACGCGTGTTACAAGCCGCTAAGTTCTTACAGAGGGCGGTCTTAATCATGCGATTCGCATTCTCGGCCAGTCCGTTCGACTGGGAAACATGAGGAGCGGTGTGTCGGAGGGTAACGCCACGGTGCATTAGTAATTCCTCGACCTCAGCCTTGAATTCAGATCTGCTATCGGTTAGAATCTCCTTTGTATCTAGGTGGGTATTGAGGAATTGATCGATGTATGTGGATCTTACACGGATAGACTTCGATATATTTCGAGAAGTGGTCGATTAACACCAAGAGGATGGAATATTCACATCGGTTGGGGCCAGGTGGCACATCAATATCAGTCGTATCCATACTGACCCGCTGAAAAGGTCGTTCCACCTCTGTCGGGACTATCGTGTTCAGTCCATGAATGGGGCACGGTCGGCCGCACAGACTAGGCAGTTAGCAACCACGTGCTTGACATCATCCCGGATATTAGACCAGAACCATCGATTTTGATCGATAGTTGCCTCGGTGACACGTATTGCGAAATGAGCGGCCTGTTCTTCGTGCGCCGACCTAGTCCAGTCATATCTTTGGAAAGGATGGGGAACCGTCAAAAATAATCCCGAACCGTCTGTCTTATGCTTCTCTAGATGTCCGTTGATCCATCGATAATCTCTGGGCCTTTCGGTAGCCCGACGCCTGTCGTGCTTAGTGAGATGGTCCAACGGTTGGCCAGCTAATTTAGCTAATAATATTTTATTCGTCCATACCTCCGCTCGTTGATATTTCTCATCGTACTCAGGGTCGTCCGTTCGGGCAGCCTCGAATCGAACCTCCGTAGGGAGTTTGTCCGTCCGACACAGGGGGCATCTCCATTCCTTACTACTTGTTCTGTATCGAACACACGCGCCATGTGCACGATTGACACACATGGCGCATTCTACCCAGTCAATAAATCCAGACTCGAAGGGGTAACAGTCTACCCCGTAAACTCGGGAAATACACGTGCAAAAATAACAAAATTTGTCCGGAAGAGTGGCGAGAAAGTCCGAATGAGCGAGGGGAGCAGAAGAGGTGGGAGAGATCGAAACAGGGGGAGTTTCCATTGTTCCAAAAAAAAGAAAGGGAGAGAGAGACATAGTTGGGTACACTTGTCCACTTAACCCTTCGGGAGAATCTCCACTTGTCCGTATTGAGGCTCGTTCTTTGGCTCCGGGTCGCGCCAGGGTGTCACTTCCTCACTCGTAGGTACCTTGTCGGGACGGTGGAGTCGTGTCAGCCTGTCCGCGTTGCCGTGTCTCTCATGTTTTCGATGACGGGTGTCAAAGTCCATGCTCTGCAATGTGGTGGCCCATCGCCCGATCATGCCCGAGTAATCCTTGGACTTCTTCAGTGCCTGCAGTGGTTCGTGATCGGTCACCAGTGTAAACCTACGGCCATATAAGTACGCTTGGAAGTGACTGATCCCCCACAAGGCCGCGTAGCACTCCCCCGTAGGGGCAGAGTAGTTGCGTTTACAGGATGGTACAGTTTTGGACGCGTATTCCACCACGTGTTCGAGGCCGTCTGATCCCACATGGGCCAAGATCGCTGAGACCGCCTCAGGCTGCCAATCAGTGATGAGAACAAAGGGTTTTTCCGGGTCCGGTCTTATGAGGACTGGAGCCGAAATCAAGGTCGCCTTGAGTTCTCGGAAAGCCCGATCGCATTGCGGAGTCCAGATCAACGACTGATCCTTTTTCAGCAGATTCGTGAGTGGTCCCGCGATCGCTGCAAACCCCTTGATGGACCTTCGATAGTACGATGCCAAATCCAAAAAGGCACGCACTTGAGTTACGGACGTCAGCACTGGCGCGTCTTTCATGGCTGTCACTTTCTGCGGCTCCGGCTGCAACCCTTGGTCCGTAACCACGTGGCCGAGGAAGGAGATCTCAGTGAGGAAAAACTGACACTTCTCAACTGCCACTTTGAATCCTGCGTCCTTCAGTGCGTGCAAGGTCCATTCGATGTGCTGCATGTGCCCCTCATAGGAATTTGAAAACACAAGGATATCATCCATATACACAATCACACAATAATTGATTATGCTCTGTGCCAGCTGCGTATTTCGCACGAAGTTTTGGAACGTCATGTTCATCATGCGTTGAAACGTGGCTGGGGCGTTGCAAATCCCCATCGGGCATCGGACCCATTGCCAGGTTCCTTCGAAAAAAATGAACGTCGTTTTCAGGCGGTCTTGTTTTCTGACAAGGAGATGGTGGAATCCATGACGAACATCAAATTTACTGAAAAATCGAGCACTACCGATAACATCCAGCAACTCATCAATCCGGGGAAGGGGATACACATCCTTGATCGTGATATCATTCAATTTTCGGTAATCAATACATATGTGAATTCCTCCTGCCTTTTTCGGTACAATCACTACCGAAAACGACCATGGTCCGATAGCGGGCTCGATCCAACCATTAGCTTCAAATTCCTTAATCCTCTTAAATGCGGCCGCTCTTTGCGCCAGCGAATACCGATAAGGAGCGCAGCTAATCGGCGGATGATCCCCCGTAAGGATCGCATGCTCAATCACCTTAGATAATCCAATATCGTTGTCATGCACACTCAATACCTCTGCATACGCATGAAAAACATCAATCACGGATCTTTGGATGTCTCGGGGGACATGACTGGGTATTGCAATTACAGCGTTATCCACGATGTTCAGGGGTGTTTCGATCCAATGATTCCAATCCATCTTTCGGGATCGCCTGTCGTGCACACTGGAGAACATGGAACTGCTAGTTCGAACTGAGAAGACGGTGGCGATCATTTGAGATTCAGTCGGGCTGATCATCTCGGTCTCCTTAATCTCCACGTCGGTTTCAGAGTCGACGTTGCTTTTTGCTATTTCTCACCCGGTTAACTCGGTCATCTCCTGCATGAGATCCGGAACATCCTCTATCGGAGCCTCTGCCCCTTGCTTGATCAAAGCGATCATGGCTCCTTGCATGAGTAGTGATCTAGGTGGAGAGACAGAAAGATCCAGATACTGATTCATTTGTTGATGCCTAGCCCAGAGTCAAAGCGCGCCCTCGTATAACGTGCGAGGGGGTTCCAAGAGATCAGCCATGTCTGAAATTTGCGAGATTGGTTCTCCCAAAAATGTTGTGGGGGGAACCCGTCTCTCTGCGGACAGAATACGGCTCGACTCGCTATTTTCCGAGCTCAGATCGAATGTCCGAGCGGTTGTGGGGATCATTCGAAATTTTTCTTTAGTCTCGTAATCGAACATTTCGACTAATTGTTCCCATTTTTTTTCACTAGGCATACCGCTCAGTTCCTCCTTGTAATCGCGTTCGTCGAACTCGTCTTCCCATGCAAGGTGTTGTTCTTCATCGTTGTTTGGGAAATACTCTTCCGGGCTCGGGATCTGGATCATTCTTATCTGGACAATACTGGGATTTTTCTTCGGCGATC